GGGCCTCCGGAAGCAGGGCAGGGCTGTTGATCTCTTCTTCCTCCTCCTGGAAGTAAGCTGGCTTTCCCTGGGAGCTGGGAGCCTGCTGGGCCTTCAGTGGATATGAGGCCACCATGTGGTTAATGTTTTGGCAGAAGTGGCACTTCTTAGGCTGGGGTGGCAGCTTGCATTCCTTGGCATGATGGTCTAGACCACCACAGTTATAGCACCTGACACAAAGCAAAACATTGAAAGTAAGAGAAAGGCATGAAGTCAGAAGCCTCAAGGAAGCACACCTGAGCTCAGGCCCAAGCCTGTCGCTAACGTCACCTCCATTCCCAGAGACCAGTTTCCCCACTTGGAAATGAAGGGATGTGGACTAAGATGATCTACAAATCCCTTCCAAATCGAACGAGATGATCTCTTCACATTCATGTCAACTTAAAGATACCAAGAATAGTATCAGTGACCTGGACTACATCATGAGAAAGGTAAGCGCCTACCATAGCCATGGTACAGTAAAAACTTTGAAAGCTAAATTATGTATCTGCTCAGAGCTAAGAGGTTTTAAGTCCACTAGCAAGATTGCAGACATCAGCCAACTGGTAAGGAAACAGCAGGCACATGTGTACCACCTTCTCCCATTGCACATATCCAGTCTCTCACTCTCTTCACTCAACAGCAGTGGCTACAGCTTCATAAAGCAGAGTGAGTTGCATCTCAACCATGTAGATGTTGCCAGGGACTCTAGGCTTCCTCCAATATCATCAGGTTTCCTTGCCTCAACAACCTACACAAGGGCCAGGGATATAGCTCAGCAGCACAGTGCCCACCTGAGAACTATGAGGTCCCGAGTTCGATTCCCAGTATCAAAAAAACAACCTACAGAAGCTGTGGTCTAAGCCATACCTGTCTCCTTTGGATCTGCGCTTCTGCATGTTCTTCCCCTTGGGCCGCCTCTCACTCCCAATACAGAACACCCCACCAGGACCGGTGACTCGGATGGATTCTAAGCCCTTGGCAGACTTTTTAAAGGTGAACTCCACAGCCTCACCCTCCTTCAGGCTCCGGAATCCCTCCATGTGTAGCTTACTCTGGTGAAGGGAAATACAGTAGATGTTACTTACCATTTGTTTCCATCACTATTCTCAAAAGCCAAAATGCACAAACATATTCCTACAAGGCACAACAACACGGGTAAAGGCAGTATTCTCAGGTAAAGGCAGTACTCCCACTTTATAAATTTTAAGAATCAATAATTAACAAAATCTACATATTAATAAAGTTTGTGGGGCCGAAGAGATGGCTTAGTGGAATAAGCGCTTCCCTGGTAATACAAGGGTCTGAGTTCAATCCCCAGTTCTGCCAAAAAAATAAATAAATAAAAATAAAATAAAGTTTGTGATGCCATAAACAGAGGCCAAAACATTATTTTCTGTAGCTATTCAGGTTTAAAATTCTAAGTACAGGATAAGGGGAGGTAATTTAGCAGCACAAGAACCTGCCTCGCAAGCTCAAGGTCCCGAGTTCAATCCCTGGTACAAAAAAAAAAAAAAAAAAAGTTAAAGAAATCTTGGACTGGCGAGATAGCTCAGTGGTCTAAACCACCTGCTTAGGCAAGATTAGGCAAGCTCAGGGGACTACATTTCAAACCCTGGCACCACATACCCCGTCAGCCCCACCCTCAGGGTGGGCTGAGTCAGAAAAAAAAAAAAAAAAACCTATGTGTAAGTATCTGTAAGAAATCAACAAATATAAAATTATAAAATAAAAATTCGCTTCTTATATAGAATAAAAAGCTCAATCACTATGTGTTCACCATAATGCCTCAGTTTTATATTCATCTAAAGACCAAGTACCTAGAAATCAGGAAAAAAATTAAGCAGTACTGTATAGCAAAGTACTATCAGGCACTGTAATAAAATGAAAAAGATGTAAACAGTAAAGAAATAATAAAATTATCATAACAGGGCTGGGGAGATGGTTCAGTAGAATAAGCGCTTCCTTGGAAAGCGCAAGGGCCTATGTTCAATCCCTGGTTCCGCAAAAAAGAAAAAAATCATAACAGCAGCCAAAACTTATTGCAAATTGATAGTAAAGAAAGGTTAAGAGCACCCTAGCCGAGTTCAAATGTAGCATTACTGTATCTATAAACGGACACACAAATCTCCTGAGATGAGTGATGTATATATACTAAGGATACTGGACTTTAAAATGTACACTGTGAATTGAACCTTGAGTGGTCATCAGGCAAATCCAACCTGAAGGACATCTTACGAAACAGACCTATCGGGCAAGGGGGATAGTTAGATGGCATAAGTGCCTGACTGGCCTGGTGGTAACACACTCCTGTAATCCCATCCCAGCACTGGAGACACTGAGACAGGAGGATCGCTACCAGTCCAAACTG